CGAATTCGGTGGCCCGGGGGGGGGGGGGGAGGTAATGACTCGCTGCCCGGCTTTTTGATTGGCCAGCTTCCCAACCAATCAGTAAGCTGTCATTAGACACCGCCTGGCTCCGTGCTCCCACGTCACCAGAGCCAGCCGTCACTCACGCAGCTGGGCGGATCCAGACATAATTGTCGGGATTCGCTTCAGCTGCGGCGTCTCAGTGTACGGCGAGCTGTAGCTCGCGGTATACTGAGCTTAGGGTGACGGGAGGATGCTAGTTTGTGGGGAAAAGCACTAACTATGGGGAAAAGCACTAACACCATAGTTTTCCTTTAAATAATTTTTTTTTTTAACCTAAACAAAAAAAAAAAAACACTTAATCCTTGTGGTACGGGGATAGCCACACTGCAAGTGTTAAAAAAAAGTATTGCTGGAGTTCTTTAGATTTAGATGCAATGGGTCCTTGTTGTGCCATTTCAGAGTTAAAGTGATAAAAACCATTAGTAGCTTATGGATTCCAGATTTCATCATCTACAAATCTGATCCACACAAGTCAAGAACAAAGTCAGGTCATGGTAACCCGTTCTGCAGAAAATAATAAGTCAGCTGCTTTGATCAAAACCTCCAAGTTTTTAGAAAGAGCACTGCTTCCATACAAATGCACACAAATCCTCTGTGCCACTGTGCTCTGTAGCTGTGGCTGCCTTCTACAAACCATGAACTGTAAGACTTTGCATGCCTTCTGTTTTGAATTGTAATTTAAAAAAGTGCCGTCATTCACTTAGCTATGCAAATCTCAGGACTGAATAGACAGAACTACAAATCATTTGGCAGGCAAAACAACCCTCATATATATATTCCATATGGATCGTTCGCTGCAATAGCAGCTCTTTCAATTAATATATATAGATTTATTTATATATTTATCCATTTTTTTTCTTCCTCAAAGAAAAGCTTACCTTCTTCTGCTAGGTCTTTGTTTATCACCAGTTTCCCGTGTCTCAAATAATTCAACACTGGTCCAAAGTATGTGGGGTCTCGGTCTATTAAATAGGCACCTGTTTCATCCTGCAAGCAAGAAATGTAAATGATATCAGACAAAGTCAATAGGCTTACACTGCATCCTGTACACTGCAGAGTATACATAGTTCCAACCAATTTCCACAACCTAGAATTTCCTCCCTCTCTCCACATCCTTCATCACCATTTACATTCCTCCCTCTCTCCACATCCTTCATCACCATTTACATTCCTCCCTCTCTCCACTTCATCACATCACATCACATTCAGGTTCCCACTGCAGGTTCCAGTCTTAATGCACTTTTTTTTTATTACATCAGCAAATGCTGAAACACCACATCTGAAGCATATGTCCCCTTGGTTCTCCCCCCCCCACAGTTTGGCACATTTTGGCTTAATTTCTGTCCTGAAAGATCCCAACCCTCTGAGTTTTGACTGGAGCTCCACTTTAAAGGCTACATCAATAACAAAGAAGATCTCTGTGCCATTGCGTTCAAGCACTCGTGTACATTGAATTGTAATGTTCCCCATTCTGCCCAGTGAAGTCCTCATATATTAGCAGCAATTTCTCATACATAACCCTGCAACTTTATCACTTTAGGTTTAAAACTATTCTACAAGCCTGTTAAGGAAACAAAAATACACGTTGAAAGGGAAGTGTTGCTTTTATGCACAAGGCAGCAGCACAACAGGATATAATTTGCACAAAGCACATAACACATGAATAATGCAAAACAGCATTAATGAAAACAAGGATATACTTTTATCCTGGGAGGTAATGATATTCAATATAGTCTTATTAAAAGGGGGCAACTGAAAACACATCCAGAGCTAAAAAATGCCTTTCAGCATGAAAATGTTAGTGGTACTACTTGTTTTCTGTACCGTTTTACTGCAGATGGGGTTGTGCCAGATGCTGATGAGAAGAAGGAAATTTGGCCCATTTAAATCCAGACAACACTTTATCTTGAGATACAGTAGAGAAGTGTAACCCCCCAAATATTGTGTCAGGCTTGCTGGCCATCAAGAGTGTAGTACATGGAAATCATGGCTTCCAAGGCGTAGGGCTTGGAGACCAAAGTGAAAATATAACCAGATCATTTGGTGATGTGGGTTCAAAAGATCCAAAATGCTCTTCTTGAAGAAGAACTTTTTGGATTTGTAATGAAGACATACAGATATAGGTTTTCCAATGCTTCACACGGGTCATCCATTCTCATATTTATCGTTCTCAGCATCTCCACTGGATAGATTTCTTTCAATGCCAGTCCCTTTGGCACTGACCACCAGGATAGAACATCATTTCACTTTAAATCTCATCTCCGGGGAAAACAAAATACCTCCCTGGAGAAGAGGCTTCCAAAACAAGCACTTTAAATCTTTTAAGTGCATTGAAATCACAACTCTTCCCCCTCCTTAACATTCTTTGGAGCAAAATCTTAGCAGCCTTCTAATGGAAACATTAAGTGCTTGTAAAAGGGCCGTGGCGGGTGTAGTTCCAGATTAGGGGGTTGAGTGTTCATTGGTTTGAAATTGAAGACGTTTAACTAAATAAACACTTTTTTTAAATTTTACATATTAGATACAATTAGGGAGGGTTATAACCAGTTAGTCTTGTTTGCCATGTGTGCCCCATTGTGGAGTTTCCCCAATCACTTCCTTTTCCCCAGCCACAACAGAAGTGAGAGAAATCCCTTGCCTGAGTTGTGGTTTGCTTGAGGAAAAGACCCACCCGGTTCCAAAACGTCATTATAAATGTGACACCTTTTTTATCAATAAAGAAGCATTTACAGAAACTATGTTGGAGTGCGAGTGACTTCACTTGAGGAAATCCCTTAGTGTCACCAATTGCAAGATTTCCCATCTATTCCATTTCTGGTTACAACTCAAAATGTGGAATTTTTCTTCAGCTTTCACTCTGCGTGATCACATTTATCAGGACAAAGTGGGCGAATATCCACAGACAGCAATAAAAACCTGACAGGTGTTCTAGTCCCTCTCCACTTTATACAAATACTTTTTACAGATATAAATCCAAAAAGTAAGTCAAGGCAACGGGACTTGCTGTATTTTTCTTGAAGACGTTTCACTGCCTATCTAACCAGCTTTCTCAATTCAGCTGGTTGGATGACTACTGAAACATCTTCAAGAAAAATACAGCAAGACCAGTTGCCTTGACTTAATTTTTACAGATATACCATGACCTGGATGAAGGAGAACCTTCAAACTTTTTGGATTTAGTTCTAATTCAAACAGACCTGCAGTACAAGGAAAAGTTTAGGTTATGGTCTCTAAAAGCAGACACCAACTCTGTCCCGCTAATAGACAACACAATGCGACTACACTATAGGAATACTTGGACACTGCCAATATAGGAGACAATAAATGGGCAACATAATCAAAATCCTGACAGCAGGATGGTAAAAAGCATGCGATTGTTGCAATAAATTATGCCGACGTCACTATTCCACTTTTCTTAAGTCACCAGAAGGAACTCCTGGCTAGGGATGGGCTGCATGTTCGAGTCGCACATAGGTTCGACTCCAACATAGCCTGTTCTAGTGTTCGCCGAACATTACGGGATGTCCGCGGTCTGTTCGACCGCGGAACATCCCACAATGCACTGCGCCGTCCGAAACGGTAATTGGCTACAGTCTTGCACCTGACACTGTGCCAATCAGTACAAATATAGAGCCATGATTGGGCAAAGTCATGATGACTCTGCCCAATCATGTCTCACAGCTAAGTCCCTGCAGTCTGTTGGCTGATTTTGCTTGACAAAAAAAAAAAAGGCTGAAGGGGCATCTGCTGCAACCAATACGAGCTAAACCAGTTGGCTAACAAAACAAAAATATGAATACATAAAAGGCAATGATCACCTGCCCAGACAATGTAATTGGTTGAAAGTTACCTTATTAGCATTCTTAATTTCATGTCTGACCATTAGAAAGGTATTTGAGTCCAAAGGAAGTAAAAGTCAAAACAGCTCAGAGAACCCTGCAATCTAAATGCAGATATAAAAACAGATCTCAATCACTCAGAAGCATGACTCAGGACGATAATCTTATCATATTACTGAACATTTACAGATAACACTTAAGACCCCATTCACACTGAGCGACATGCAAATCGCGCGACTTTGAGCGACGTCTTCCTATTGGGCTGTATGCAATCAGGAGCAATATCGCTCAAAATCGCTCTAAAAAAGGGTCATGTAGAAGCGACAAGCTACCAGCGACGAGCTACAAGCGATATTGAGCGATATTGAGCGAGACGAGATGTGAACAGCTACATTGAATTGTATTGGTGAAGCTACATAGAGCGATATAGTGCGGAAATATGAGCGATATCGCTACAAAAATCGCGCGATAAATCGCTCAATGTGAACGGGGCCTAAAAGGGGACTTAACAGTAACACTATAGTCTGCATGATGGATGTTGCGAGACTCAGTGATCCTGCCTCATACACAAATGTGAATAGGACCTAAAAATCCGCTGTAAAAAGGAATAAGTACTAAATGATGGCTCGTATTTTCCAGTATTGGCTCGTAGTCTCCAGTATTTGATCACTGGAGTCCCATCTGATATACCAAGTCAACTTAATTTGCCTGCAATTGAGTCCATCCATATGTAAAGTACCTGTATGGGCCAGACTGACCCTTTATAGGGAACTTATTATTAGAGAAATACGGACATCCGAGTTACGGACATCCGAGTTAAGCTGCCCACACACACACCTTACAATTTATCTGCAGATTTTCTGTGGTCAGATGGAAAAGGTGCAACTGATTCCTCCATCTACACTTAACTGTGTGGCTGGAGGAATCTCCACCTGGGCCAATCTGTTGCAGTTTTTCCATCTGACCACAGAAAATCTGCAGATAAATTGTAAGGTGTGTGGGCACCTTTACGGACAGAGGTACCAGGCTGTTCAACTAGTTGTAATGCTACCGTGTTCGTAGTGCTGTCCCTTCTGCTGTACATTACAGGAAGTTGTAGACGTGACAGGAAACAATACCAGCGCCTCCACATGCAATATCGGCCAGTTGAAATGGTAACGAACACACTGAAGAGGCAGCTCCACAGGTCAAAGGACCTTCAATCTGAGAGACAATAAACAAAAAGGAGCGCCTCCATAGTGTAAAACGAATTTTAATGATAAAAAAGCACAATTGTATTGTACTTACAAGAAGTCGGTAGTAAAAAGGCATGTAGAAAACAATGGGATGTCAAATCATCTAGCAGCGGAAGTCTGAAAAGATGTGCAGCATCACATGTAAACCCAGACCACACAGAGGCAGTGGACGCTGATGCTGCACATCTTTTCGGACTTCCGCTGCTAGATGATTTGACATCCCATTGTTTTCTACATGCCTTTTTACTACCGACTTCTTGCAAGTACAATACAATTGTGCTTTTTTATCATTAAAATTCGTTTTACACTATGGAGGCGCTCCTTTTTGTTTTTTGTCTCAAGTTGTAGACGTGCCTGCCTCTTCTTCCTGGTCTGGTACTGTACATTGCAGGAAATTGTACAAACATCTGTCCAAGTTGCATGTAAAGTAGAACTCCTAAAAAAAAAAATACAATTTGCACGTTTTGGTTAGTATGGTGTGGGATTAGAGCCACTGACAGCAAAACAGGGTTAACCCTTCCCTATCCCTAAAAAAAAAAAAAAAATTTACATGTTCCAACTTACATACAAATTCAACTTAAGAACAGACATACAAGTCCCTATCTTGTGTGTAACCCGGGGACTGCCTGTATGTAAAAGTGCCATTACGGGCCTCTACGGAGAACAGAAATACCGGTGCTTACACTAACACAGAAAGCAGAGGGTGCCATTAAAAGAAAATTGAGATTCCCAATCTCACAAGGACATGCACATCAAATTTACTCAGAACCGGTTAAATAAGCAGCAAATTGATTAATACGCGAGAACGTAATGTACAGAGAAGTTACATCTGGGGAACAGATGCTTTCATGTAATTATTATCATTTACTTGCTGCTAACATCTTGCTGAAGAGCAGCTAAATAAATCAAGAAC